GGCCCTGCTTCGGCAGGGGGGTTGGACTAGATGACCCACAGAGGTCCCTTCCAACCCCTACTATTCTGTGATTCTGTGATTCTGTGGTGCTTTAGCTCATCCTTGGCCTTCCCAAGACCAAAGAAATCCCCGCGGCCAGCGGTATCGCAGGCTCTGGGGTGCTAGAAAGCCAGAGGCTGAGCTGGTTTTCCGAGCCTGGGGTCTGTGTGTCACAGACAGCAAGCAGCCCGCAAAGCACTTCTTTTTCATCTTTTTTTTTTTTTTTTTTTTTTTTTTTTTTAAAAAAAAAGCTACGACACACTCTTTAGCCCTGAAATAGTAGCGCTGGAGCAGGCCGTCGGGAACTGCAGAGATTTGTTTAAACTACCCTGCCTGTCATTCAGGATGAAACGCCGCGCTGCCTCCCAGCACGGTGCCCGCCAGTCCAGAACCCGCTTTACTGGGAAGCAGACGCCAGTTGGCAGCGTCCCCTCGCCCAATTTTAGCTGTCTAAATGTTAGACATCTAGTTTGCGCTAACCGGCTAGGCTGTCTGTAGACCAAGTGACGTGAGATGAATTCCACCCAGAACGGTTACCAGCCGGGCTCCAGGAAAGGAAAAATTAAATCAAGCTCTGGTGCGCCGAAGCATCAGCCAGCATACTGGGCGATGGCAAATTACATCAGCAAAACAAGGCAGCAGCTCTGGAGCTGGGATTTTTTATTTTTCTTTTTTTGTAATACGATCCCTGGGCTTCTTCACAGGAGGAGGAAAACACCCGCCCAGGATGGGCAACGCACACCGGTATCAGCTAGGAGAAAGGCTGCTCCTGTATCAGCAGGGATGGTCTCCAAGGACTCCTCAGATTTCCTCCAAAGTTTAGAGAGCTGGAACATAGACCCAAACCCGTGGAAACACTAAGATGTGAATGACCCTTGTCATGGCACAGGAGTAATAACGGTGATCGTAGCTGCAGGAGTAACGAGTGAGGGTTTCTGCCAGCCTGTGGGTTTGGCAGGCTGCAGCTCCGATGGTGGCTGCAGCCCAGCACCACCTTTTCTGCCCCTCCGTCTTGTTTGGTTTTATCCTTCAACTGTTGTGTAGCAACTCAAGAGTCTTACTGGGAATACGAGGGACAGCTGGTTTACAAATACAATAGTAGCATAATTAATTTAAGCATTAACAATCCATTATTATCTGTTATCGCAGGGTACAAGCTCTGTCTCTCTGCCATGGAAACCATAGTGCAGGTTACCTAGGAATCCCTCTGGGATCTATTAAGCGTAATTACTAAGGACTTGGATCAGCAAAAAATATATACGCATTGTTTTCCAGCCTCAGCACTGCGGAAAGTGCTGAAAACTTAGCAGCTCCGT